CAAAATGGGGGGCTTAAAATGCACAGAGACACACACATTTTATACTTAATCTAGAGTCACACACACGCACACACTGATCCCTCTGTTATTTCCTCCCCCTCTGTTTCTCTTACACTATGAGCATCAGGTCTTGTTCAGATTGATGTGACAGTTTAATTCTCATCATGATCACCATGATAATGTGTGTCTATATACTTGATTCTGATTGGTCCAAAGCAGCAGATGAAGGTGCTTGATTTTCAACAGTAAAAACAACACTATGGACAAACACATATCGAATTACAGCACACCTCACCCCCACCTGTTGTCACTGTGGCAAAAATGTCTGTGCTGTCACAGGCTGGTCTTGAGAGTCACGAAAAACTGATAAGTGAGCACCTGTGTGAAGCAGTCTGAAGAGGTATTAGGCCTTGAACATCTCTGAGAGGGACAAATAGAGCAAAGCTACTACACTCAAGCATTTCCAACACTACCACAACCATATTAATGATTTTATAATACTTTATTTATTTATATCAAAGTCCCACTCTAATCATTCTTTACTACTTTAAGTGTTCTCAGCAGTCTTTACATTACCTGTGTCATTTTCAAGGGTTTTTCTTCTGACAGAGACAGCGCTGCTCTGGACACTCCTCTTCACGCTAGCTTGTAGCCTAACATTGCCAGTGTAGTAGAAGTAGCAGGTAACGTAGAAGCTATTCTACTCTTGGACACTAATGTCTTTGGGACATGATGAAAGTTAATATCGTAATTAGCTTTCTTACAAGTATTGCAATCCGCTAACGCTCACGCTTGTTCCACGCTCATCCTCTCTAATTTTCCGAGTCTGGCCTGCATAGTGGCGCTGGGGGGGGCGGAGCTTAGATTTGTGACGTGGGAAATCTCACTGTTTCTGAACCTGCCATTTGGGTCTGCCAGAGATTCACAGTGATTTCAATACAGAAATACTCAGAAATGCAATTTTGCACTTATATTTCTCATGATATGTCTTGTACCATCAGAAAAATGCCATATGAACATGTAAAAAACAAGAGAAACATGATTTCAATTGGAGTGGGTCTTTTAAGTATTATTTTCTAAAATTGGCAACTGTGTGTGGTCTCCCTCTTTGTCACATACAATTGAGCCAGGTTGTGATAAAACACACACACAGCCCTGTTCTGCCAACTCCAACGCTACACATCGCCTCCCTGTACCCACCTTTCCCTCGTTAATCCCCATCACACCTCCAGTTGTCACACATCCAGAGGAGGTACAACAAGCGCTCATAAGGTCACATGAACAACCGCGTTTGTTGAATTTGATTTTCTTTGTCCCAAAGCAAATATTTTGTCCCCTACTGCCTGCCGTACTTTGTTCATCCCATCACCAAACAGACAGCGAGGAGACAGTGCTTTATAGAAACTGTTAGAGGAGTAAAGTGAAGGTCAAGCACTGACAGAGCTTTAAACCACTCAGCTCTATTGTGCACAAAGTTCATGTTGAAATTTTTCTGTTGATTAGAGGCAGTCAGATATAATTTTTACCCAAATTTTAATGGCTGTTTTTCCCTTCGATTTCAGTTTGTAATGTGTGTGTTTGTTTAGAGGGTTGGATTGTGTACCACTCAGACAGAGCACACACACACACACACACACACACACACACACACACACACACACACAGAGTGTAATTAGGTACATGCCAAAGTACAAGCTTTTCTTTCCGGAACCTCAGAGTCCATTTAGCACGGGAAATAGCTGCAGGTTAGGAAGCTAAAACACTGGCTTGTATACGTGTGTGTGTGTGTGTGTGTGTGTGTGTGTGTGTGTGTGTGTGTGTGTGTGTGTTTATAAGTGAATGCCACCATGAATGTTAGTGAGTGAGAGTGAGGTTTTTTGTAGGTTTTGCCCTCCAGTCTAATTGAGTTTTCAAGGAGCTCTTATCCTTTAAGAGAATAGTGCGGTGTGTGTGTGTTTGTGAGATTTTGAATTTGTGTGTTTGTGAGAGAGAGTTATAGAGGTTACACGCATGCATCTTTGAAATACATGCCTCATTCTTGCATCTGCGTGTGTATATATGCAGTTGTCTATTAGTCTGGCATATTTAGAGACTGCTGTACTCTTTAGACTCTTTAGGAGGAGGGAGGAGCTGGTTTGTATGCAGGAGGGTAGTAAACCTGTTTCCAGGACCTGGCCACAGGCACCTGCCACACTGGAGAGTGTCTGCATTTTTTTTTAGGGTGTCTTCATAAAGGTCATCATCCACCCCCCCCAGTATGTCACTGCCAAATACACCTCAGACTGATTTCCAGTATCAGCCTGTGGCCCCTCTTCACAGTAAGTGAGTCTGAACTAGACTCCACTCTCACCTCCCTGAGTCCTCAGCCACTAGAACCTACATTAAACACAGAGATTAGACCCAAACAGCTCTTCAACAGCACTTTAATGTAGCTCCATTAAAAAGCACTGCCTGTGACATTTCAGGACTTATCTGGAGCTCAGATCCAGAGAAAAAACCCAGGACACAAAACACTGTTCAAAAGACTCTGTACTTTACTCAACGCTTCAGGAGTCACACGCTGCAAGACAGTCAGCGAAGGCAGAAAACCCACATGGGCAAATCCACAAAATCTAAATCCAATCAAAGTTCAATAACCAAGCAAGACATCAGATGAAAACCAGGCTGGAGAGCATGAACACGCGAGAGACAGTGAAAACCTGGCAGAGTGGGTGGAAACATAAGGGTTAGATTCAGGTCAGACTGATTACAAGAGAGACCCAGGTGTAAAAAAAAAAAAAAAAAAAAAAAAACAGGAACTAGAAAAATGGCAGGAGGTGACACCAGGAACAATGCAAAACAGCAGGATTACAAATTAAAATAGGAAATGAACACAAAACACACAGAAACATAATTACAGGCCTGGTTTAATGTCACACAGACTGCTGCCCTAGTTATCTTACCACTGAAGTCCGTCTCTGCAGCTGTTTGGTTATATTCACATACTGCAGACGAGTGATCCACTGAAAAAGGTGAGCCTTTACACCTGATTTCTGCAAATACAGTCTGCTTATAACACACACAGAATCTGAGAGACGACTTTTACACAACCAAATGACACCAGAATGATCACAGAGAAGGAGTCACTGCATCTCTCATACGTGAAACGGTTTATTTCACAGAGGACAGCGTAATGACTCAGGGGTAATATTCAGTCACCTTTGCCTCTCCTTCTCTCCAAAACCTCCCGCAGGAAACAATCTGAACTTCAGGTCAAGCAGCACTCCCTTTGTTCTCTACCGCGGCTCAATTTCCCTGTCATTGTGATAGTGAAGTATTGTCCAGTAAATTTAAAGAGCTCCACTCGTGAAAAACAGAGACAATGGAAGGTTTATCATCAGAACTTTGACATTTGGTATGATTAACCCTTTGAAATGGGTTTCTCATTACAGCTGCTATATATGACGTGGTGGATTTCTGCAGTTGTGATTTTATTTTCCAATAATAGGATCAGGAGAAACTAGGACTGGGCGATTATATGATTGTTATCGATGATTGTGATAAATTTCAGTTCGATCACGGTGATCAGCTGTGAGCATATTTACTCGATCAAACATGGCAAATGTGCATCACAACAGCCAATCAGAGTCGAGCTTTTCCTGCTCACTTCTGTAAGTTACCTGAGAAGTAAACAGGAGAAATAAACAGAATGACCGAACATGGAGCTAAACACAGAGCTGAGGGCAGCAAAATAGATGTCAGCCGTGACTTTGAGTCATCCTCAGAAGATGTTATTGTTGAGAAGTTATTCAACGTCGCTCCAAAGTGACGTCGAGCAATTAAGACGATAAACCGGCAACATAACAAATCTGTTAAATCATTTAAAGAAGTTCTTCCCGAGTGAGTATGCAGGAAGCATGAAAATGCGAGCGGAGTCTGTACAGCCTGCCACTGCTGACGGTACGAGTAGCATTAGCAGTTTAGCCACAACTAGCAGTGCAGCCATCAGACCAAAGCAGCAATCAATCATATCCATACCTGCCAACACTCCCGTTTTTCCCGGGACTCTCCCGTATTTCAGACCTATCTCCCGCCCACCCCCCATATTGTCATTTCTCCCGGGAATTTCTCGTAGCATGGTCCGCATTCATTCATGAATAGGATCACTATATTTGTCCAAAGTTTCCAGGTTTCCAGACAAACGGAGATCGTCCTGTGTTTCTGCTGAGCCTCACGGTCACTGGATTGATACTTTTACTTTACAGTTTGGAATGATTCAGGTCGGTTTCAGCTGTAAGTTATTTAAACAGTGTTTGTTGAAAAATGAACATTTCGATGAAAGAAAAACAAACGCGAGATATGCGAGAGTGATGCGTTCAGGGCAGCCTCAGATAAAAGAGTGCTGTATTTCATGCACAGATGTTCAGGGGACTCATAAAGGAGAGCATGTAGAACATATGAGGACGTTGTTTATTTTGGGTCTTGCATACCTGCAAAAACACTCAGGACTGTAAACTAAATCTCTGTATTATTTAGTATTTATCTACATTTGTTGTGCTGTTGAGTTAAAATGGTTTTTATATTTTTCTAAGTGTATCTTATTCACTTTGCTTTGTTATTTACTTTGTATGTTAATAAAATGTTGAACTAGTCTCTAGTTTTTTTTTTGTTTTTAGTACAAATACTTTAAAACTGGCAATTAAAAAAAAAAAATCATAAGAATCGAGATCGGACAATATGACAAAATATATTGTGATCATTTTTTTTGCCAAATCGCCCAAGCCTAGGAGAAACACAGTGGGTTAAAAACTCAGTATATTTTTCATTTTGGATACCCCCACCCTCCAGTGTGTCAGAGACAGCACTTTTTCTTCGTCTTAATGAAATCTCTATTATGTTAAAGTGGCATTGATTTTACCTCTACAGTCTAAACGGTTTCTGGACTCCAGTCTCTTTCATTGTAATCCAGCCCACGATGTTGAAAAAAGCTTCATGTTTAAAAGCTAATTTAGTGCTACGATCCTTGAACCATGTGTGCTGATAAGATGTTTTTAATGTTTTAGAAAATGTGTATGTTTTTATCTCTCAGGAGAAGAATACTGAACTGACAGCTTCAGAGAGACTCACAGAGATTAAATAACAATCTTAGTCCTCCTAATCTCCTCGAATGTCAAACACTTTTACCTCACATTTAAGAACACGCTCCTAAACACACACACACACACACACACACACACACACACACACACACACACACACACACACACACACACACACACACACACACACACTTGTAGTAACTCCATGAAATGAGAACATATTAACTAACTAATGCCTACAGCCCACTGACTATTGATCAACAGAGTCCAATTAATGTGATTAATTAGCTCAGCACTGCTCCGCAGAGGAATGGTCAGCAAGTCTCTAAAGCCATTCACACACACATGTACATAATTAAAGTTGGGCTTTTGCTTAACATGCAAATATCTTAACGTCAAAACCAGTAAATGAGGAAGAATTGAGGACATACACTGAATACTGAAGCTCTTAAGCCATCTGAACACTTCTTCTATACATCGGTAGAGTCTGAAACAAGAGTGTAAGCTGTCAGATCTGACCTTTTCATTTGTGTTTACTGCTTTTACATTATCAGAGCAGTTAATGGAGGATTATGACGTTTTGATATCACTGTTTTTCTTTATAAGGTAGGAACCTTTGTGTCCAGATAAGTGCTCCACCCAGAAGGTGAAACAGTTTTTGACTGTGCAGATGTTTGCAGTAAGGAAAGTGTGGAACATGTGTTTGTCATGTTACCCCAAATTTCCACTGCATCGGAATGGAGCCACTGTGAAACGGCAGTGATTTTCGCCATCCGCCAATTCCAACCAGATGCGTTTGTGAATTTCATGGCGAATTTCAGACAGCAGGAATCGTGAGGACTCACAAGAACCTGCAAATTCACATGCAATTGCACGATTACGAGTTGTCTCTATAAAGACAGCCACATAACCATATAAGCAGTAGATTGTGTCCTTCCAAAGGAGAAAATCCACTCTGTCCAGACAACATTTATTGGTACTGATTTAAAACTCCCATTACTCCTGCTATGGAATTATATAAGGGATGAGTCGGGTCATAGATTATTCTCTTATTTTGGACTTCCAGAACCAGCATCTCCTCACCCATGGTGTCAACGGGATGAAATTAAGTCCGAAACCTTTGACACCTTTACACACCACGCAAACTTGTTCATCCCCGCCCACGTTTGCATGGTGTAAAACAAGTAATGTTTTATTTTAAAAGGAAGGCAAATGTTTTATTTTGTGTCTGTACCCGATTTCCTTTCTAGCATGGCCAAATCTGTGCTGAATTTATGCGGCATGCTGCAGGGTCTGGAGAAAAAAGAACCCTGGCTACAAAGCCGGCTGATCCGCAGGGGGCCGGAAAGAACCCGGTAGAAATTTAACACATTAACTTGAATGTAAACAATCAGTGGTTCGGCACTGATCCTTTTCACCACCATTGGAAATTTGGAATCAGATTGTGGTCTTGGAGCTAAAACACATGGTGTGCTCAGACTTGGACTTCCATTCAGCTAAAGTCATTTTTTCTGTGCGTCAATCCAGGCGCAGCAGCTCAGTGGCTTTATTGTCGACTTGGCCTCTCCATACATTGATGACAAGAAATAACCCAATCAGCTGGGTCTGGGTGACTGCAGTGGACGGTCCAGGGTTGACCATGCTGTTACTGAAGGACTTTAAGTTGTTTTCACTCATTCAGACTTTGACTTTCTTACCATTGCTGAAGAAAAATGAAAGTACCTGCAAAAAGAGACTTCATCCATTAAGGAAACATGCATCACAGTCTTAAACACAGCATTTACTCAAGTCCGGGAATATGAATCACTCTCAGCAGATGGAGGCCATCTGGTTACGTTGGTTATTTCTTTTAATGTCCTTGTGAATTCAGTCAACTTAAAGCTGCGTAAACTCCTTTTACTGAGCACGTCTGTGAGGTACAGTTAAGAAAAGTGTTCCTGTAAATACGGATGAATTAAAAGACTGTCAGTGTCTGAAGACGAAATATTTTCTGAATAGAGCAGATGAAGTTGTTGAGTTGTGGACTTCTTGCACCATAATAAACTAAAGTCAACCTAAGAAAACCACAAAAATACGACCAGAAAGTAAACAAACCTCTGAAATAACAAGCAGCAGAAAGCAGTGTCAGTGCGAATATCCAAGGTGAGAGGACTTCAGAGATTGTGGAAGGTCTGTTAAAGAGTCTAAAGGATATCAAACCACTGACATTACTTCACAGACTTAATCTGCTCTGATCGCTGCTGCATAAAGAAGAGCTAAAAGACATGTCAACAAAACAAGAGAAGGAACGTTTAATAAGTTTAAAGAAGGCTGTAGCTAAAAGAAAAAAAACAAGCAGTAAAAGAAGGGGACAGAGCTGGAAACACAAACAGATTTTGAAAGACAAGGGGACATTTCCATCCTGTCTGTCCTCTCCTCCCTTCTCATGACAGCTCTGTGACAGGATGCATTGTGCTGCACATTTATTGGGTTTCTCTCAGCATGCCGCCTCTCTAATTGGAGCGTCCTTTTATTCTTTCCTGAAGACTTGAATTATTTTTGAAACTGAAATAACTTTACCATGAGTCTCACAGGAAAGGCAAAGAGAAACCTCTGAGTCCCTGTGAGAATCCCCATCTGCATCCACTGTTAGTCATTTAAGCATCTTAGAGAATACTCTGCATACCCTCACCAACCCCACTCCTACCTCAGCTCAGAGGCAAGTGCGAAGTGTACATTATGTATTTGTGCATTTTAGAGCATGGTAATGGTGTTCTATGAATATATACACTGTCTGTGTGCTTTTGCACGGTAGTCCTTTCACACTGAGAAAAGGACTGCGGTCCCTGAGGTTAGGAGTCCTCCATTTGACCCAGCCAACCTCTCAGCATCCCCCAAGCCCTGACTTTTATCGCTCTTCACACTGTGTCACTGTGTGACTTGGCGTATGCTTGGAGGGTACCTCAGAATTACGCAGACATAAAAACATATGTCCTGGGTCACAGTTTGAATTCATATTGTGCAAATATCTTAACAACACTGACATCACTACCTCAGAGCATGAAAACAACAAGTCAGGAGCCATCATGAGGGGTGTTTTAAAATAATACAGGGTTAGTGTGATTAGACTTAAAGTCTGCTCTGTGTTGTGTACTTGAAGTGAATGATAGTTTAATCCCACTGTTATTTATAGTGGCTGCTGTCACAACCAGCTTTTATCACAGTTTCCAATTTCCATCTCAGTAGCAGCACTCTAGTGCAACAGCACGGCACAGTTTTGACAGGTGACAAAGAACAACAGCGTACAGGTATAGCTCTAATGGATTTGGAGTCTTTTTTTAACCTTTTTGATTTCAGTTTTAAGCAACATACGTGAAAGAGAACAGCAGGATGGCTTGTTGCTATAAAATGAAATGTCATACTGAGGTATCAGAAGAGATTTGGACACTGAAACCATTAAGTGAAGAGTGAGAAAGTTTAGAAATCTGTGTGAAATACAGAGAGCTGTGTGACAGAGGCCCTGCACAGGTACAAGAAGTCATTAAGGGTGCAATCTTGTTCTGTGTCACAAAGATGAGTGCACAGAGAAAAACTCCGAAACATGAGGATGGGTTCATGGAGAGAGAGTTAGTGAGAAAGAAAAAACATACAAGCAGAGTGGCAAAAACACACACGAGCCGACAAAGAGTTTAATCATGGCTGCACACTGTTACTCAAGAGGCCATGCATATGTCTTTCATATGCTTGCTTACACACGCACGCACACACACACACACACAGCCTGCAGCTATGAGGAGGGAATAAGAATCAGACATCACAGAAAACTGTGAAGTCAGTTCAACTCCCTACTGCTGATAGAGAGAGCAAAAGGCAACCACAAACAGAGAGAGAGTTGTGACTGTAACTCTGGCTCAGAGAGATGAGAAACTCTCCTGAAAAAGAAAAAAAAAAACAGTTTTTAGGATAAGTAGATAGAAAGAGGAAGACATTTCTTTAAAAGGGGAAGAAGGAGAACAGAAAGTGTAAAGACATTGATTTAGGGAGAAATCAGGGAAAGAGGGAGTGCAGGACTAAAAGGTTGTAGGTGTTTCTTGGTGCCAGGTAGAACACCCACACAAACCATTTAAAGACACCCTCTCTACTAAACCTACGGCCATTTTGACTCCTGAGGAGCTGTTATTTTGGCATCTTTAGCAGAAAAGTTAGAAAATATGACAGTCACGTTGGACCTTCCCTCGGGTAGTTTGGGGTGAAGGAGGGATAAAGAAAAGCAGAGACAAAGTAAAACAAGACATGTTCACCTTTACATCTCAAAGGTTGCATCCTTGTTCCCGCCTGTGTATTAACCAAGAAAGTAACTTCATCTTTTTTTCTGCAACACTCCTTTGTATCAAACTCTAGTTATAATAAATATTCTATTCTCACTGCCTGCTAAACCTGTTTTTACATGAATTATGATGAATAGTGACCAGTTAGCAGCACTGATGAAGCTTCAAGGCAGCGTTTTTATCACCATCAGGAACCTTCATTCAGAGCAGACTTTACTTTGATATAAAATGTCATTACTACAGTAAACAAAGGGCAGCCTCACTGTTCACCACGCCAGTCCAGCTCTTGTACCCCTGAGGCTGGATGAGGCTGTCAAAGTGGGAGCAGATTGTGACCACATATTGCAGCTAAGAGTCCAGCAGACACAGTTGATAGGGAAGGTGGTGCAGAGCAGCAAGTAAGGGAGGAGAAGTCAGCGCCAAAGAGCTAAAAAGGCACTTTTTAAGTTTTTTTTGAGCATGGTAGCATTTTTACATGAAAAGCTGCTGATTCTTTCCACTCCGTGCCCATCCACACTTGGAAATTCACACTCATATTTAATCATCAGTGCTTTCTTAAAAGTGTGGATTTAAAGGAACAGCTGGAGCCCCCTCTGATCCATTTGATGGGGTCCTGTGTTTAGTCTTCTTTCAGCTCTGTTTTGGTCTCCACCATGACCTGGTAGAGACATCTCTGCACTCTGAAGCTCCTAGTTTTATGCACTTAGAGTTCACCAGAACCCAGATGGTTGGGGTATCTTCAGAAAAGGATGGTCACAATGCCAGAATTTTCAACTTCGATGCAGTAAACCTTTATTCTTAAATAGTTCATTTTGTTTTTGTTGATTTCTGACCTGCACATGCCACTGAATGTCATGAAACAGACAAACATTTTACAAACTGTTGAAAGAAATGAATGGAAAATAGAAATATCTGTTTTTCTCCAAAAGACAAAGTACTTCTATAACCACGAGAAGACCTGCATAGATGTTCTAGTTTTCATACAAATATGGTAGTTTAATGGGTATCTACAGCTGTGCAGGACTGTGAAGCTGCTCCACAACATCCACAGACAGAACCATGAGAAAACAGGAAAGACCAGATAACACAGGTGTCTCTGTCCTCAGTCTGTCTGCAAGAGACATGAATGTGACATCCCTGTCTTTATGAGACAATGTAGAGAGCTGTAGAGAGCTCTCTTTCTTTGTTTCCCTCTATCAGTCTCTCCTCTGTTCATCTCTTCTCTCTCTTTCTCCATCTCCCTCTCTCTCCTCTCTAAACC